AGACTAACCTAGCATATTTGAAGCCTCTCTCATTAAACCAAACGTAGCTAGTTCCCTTAGTCTTTCATCATACGATTTAAACTCCAGACCCCTTATGGTCTTTGTTGCTCTTCTCTGCACTCTTTTTAGGGCCTCAGCATCTGTTTTTTATTCAGGGTGTCCAGAACAGGATGCAGTCTTCCAAATGTGACCTCAATACTGCAGTCTAGGACGGTACAATCAATTCTGGTGATCTTGACCCTGTCCCATGGTTGATGCTGCCTAGGACTGTCCGGCGACTTTTTTTGGCAGCTGCAGCATATTGCTGACCATACTTAAGTGGTTGTCCACTAGGACACCTAGATGCCTCTCACAGGAACTACTGGCTGGCTGGGTAACTACCTATCTTGTACCTACGTGTCACATCACCGACTTGATCTTGTTGGATAGGGCCCAATGCTCAAGTCTATCAAGATCTTTCTTGAGTCTGTCTTCCAGAATCTTAGCAATTTGCCCAGTTTTCTGTCACCCACAAATTTGATGACCGCCCTTTCAATCCTGTAGGTCATTTATTAAGAAGTTGCACAGGGCTGGGCTCAAGATAAGATCTTCAGGAAGACCTCTGCATTCTTCCCTACACATAGATGTAGTTCCATTGAGGACCACACGCTGAGTGTGCTTGGTCTGCCAACTGCAAATCTGTCTGTCTAGCCTGCATTGCTCTATCGTGTTGCAACCCTGGTGAAATTCACAGAGAGGGCCTTCTTTGCCCAGCATGTGATCCATCCAAGCCCTCTAGTGTAGGCAAGATTGAGCTTGTGAGGAGATGGGCCATCTTCCTTCTACTGGGTCCTAGGATGATGTTGGCTTACTGGTCTCAAGTTCTAGTCTCACTTTGATTGCTAGCCAAGATACTTGACTATGATAAAAAAAGGCTAGGTCTTTCTCCTCTCATTCCTTCAGATCTCCCCTTTGCTTTACAGATGATGAGTCCTGAGGAGCTCTGCCACACAATACTCTCCAGGTTCTGCAATTCCACCCCTGCCATCACCCTGGAGTTCTCGGGCTTGGCAGAGCAGGTTGGCCTTCAGACACAGGATATTTGGGTAGCCCCGAATGCCTCCTTGGCTGCCCATCACTGCTCTCTCTTGCAGCACAGGGGTCCTCTGCTCCTCCTCTCTTGGAGGTGGTGCTGGAATTGGGCTGCTTCATGAATTGGGAAAATTTGAGCATGGCTATGGGAATCATGGCACAGGTTTAAAGAGGAAAAGATGAATTAATTAAATAAATTAAAGCAATAAAACATTTTGGAGTCACTGGTCACAATTGCATAGCACCAGAGATTGCTGGAAGGAGGAGCTCACAGCAAGTTCAAGAGGACTGAGACTTGGTCCTGTGGAAGAAAGTAATGGCACACCACTCATTGAACAAAAATCTAAAACTGGAAGGCTGTAAGGGTTTATCTATTTGCACTGACTCTGAACTTACTTGTGAGGGCAACTGACTTTCTGATCAGAAAACATCAGTAGTTGGAAAACAGCAATAGTTCATCCTTGCTCCACACTTGTGAGATTGCAACTTTATTTCAGAATGGCTGACTTAGTTCAGTGCAACACTTGTTTTGCAGATGTCTTTTGTGATATGCTTTAAATTTGGATACTATCCTACTTTTAAGGAGATAGTTAGTTTACATGTACAGATTCTTATCTAGAGTCTTTAGTTTGTGCTCTTCAGGCTGAAATTAGGTGGCCAATTCAATCGCCGTGTTGAGCTGCCCTTCTATCTGCTCCCTCTACCACAAAGACCCTGCAGGAGAAGGGACATGGACATGCATGGACAACTGTTGGATCTCGCAGAGTGAGCTGTGGATCATACGCATGACATTTTTGTTGTGTCCCTGCATAATGCATACAGTATCCTTGCTGAACTTAATATGCTTACCAAGGGTGGCTGTTTGTAATGGTGTTTACTCAACTGAGCAGGAGATTGTGATCTGTGAGGAAGAAGTTTCGGATAAAGGAAAATGTTAGTCAGGTATTGCAAATCAGTCATGTGAGGTGAGCAATTTATCTACAAAGAGAACCCATATTCTGGTTAGTGACACAATTTAAAGAGGTGTCAATTTAAGAAAAGATGTAGAGCTTTTGAAAGAGATGAGGTGTCTGTCTGGTGCTACTGCCAGCAGAGAAAAAAAAGCACATTTTAAGATAATCAAGGATGCTAGTAAGGACTATGGTGGTGTTGTGCATCTTGGCACTAATAATCCGTCCAAAAAAGATGTGGGCAGGAGGATTTTCAGAGTTTGGGGCAGGAATTTAGCAAGACAGGCTGCAGTCCTACTTTTTCATAGATTTTACCTGTATATAAGGAGCAAAAAGTAAAAGGCAGGGTAGAGTGGAATTCAGTGTGTGGCTAAAAAGGAGTGGTGTAAAGCGGAAGGTTTTGATTATGTTAGTCATAATGTTTGCAGTTGGTCTGATGAACACCTGCACAAAAGGGATGGTTTACTTACTTTCAAAAGGGAACTGATTTACTTAGGACCAAATTCAGGGGCTTTCCGGAGAAATATTTAAACAGAATAATAGACAGTTAGTTGATAGAGAACATTCTAACACAGATGTTTGTGCACTTAAGGTGGTTGTTAAGAAAAATCAAGCTTTTGATAGCGTGTGCCACACAATGTGCACTAATCGAACAAGTGATAAGGAAGAAGGGACACTCAGACACAAAACAGGTTATATAGAAAATAAACACAGGGTCAGTCAAAAAGGGCTCAGATGCCTATACACCAATGCACAAAGTATGAGAAATAAACAGGGTGAATTAGAAATCCAAGTACATGAGGGCAGATATGGTATTGTTGCCACTAGTGAGGAAGTGGAGAGGTGGGTAGTTTTAAATTTCTGGGCATTTATATCTCGAAGAACCTCTCATGGACTATGAATGTTAACATGCTTGTGAAGAAGGCAGAGAAGAGGCTGTACTTCCTGAGAATGCTCAGGAAGGTAAATCTATCTCAGCAACTACTTCTGTCTTACTATCGCAGCACCATTGAGAGTGTCCTGACATACGACATTCTTGCATGGTATGGGAGCAGTTCTGTAGCAGACAAAAATGCTCTACAGAGAATCATTAAAACTGCCCAGAATATCATTGGGCTCCAGCTACCAGCTCTGGATGACATCTTCAAATCTTGCTGTTTGAGAAAGTTGCATAACATTCTCAGAGACTCTTCCCATCCTGCTTACAATCTTTTTGGACTGTTGCCTTCTGGCAGAAGAACAATTAAAACTCGGATCACGCATTTCCTGAATAGTTTTTATCCCAGAGCTATAATTGCACTCAACAATGAAGTAAAGGACCACCATCAGTGAGCTGTTGGACAGCATTACTTGATCTGTTGTGTGGATGTTTGGGTGGTTTAGGGGTGGAGAATTGTGGTGGATGGGAGTGTGTTTGGGGATTGTTGTGTGTGTTGGACCTGGTCTTTGGGTGTTAAGTGAATTTCATTGTATGGGTATACTGTGTATACACGTACAATGATAATGAAGTTATTTATTTTATTTATTTATTAGGGAAACCTGGTGGAATAAAACCCATGAATGGACTAGGCAGAGGGATTTAAATTGATTAAAAGAAACAGACCTAATAAAAGAGGTGGAGTTGCACTATGTATAAGAAATAACTACAGGTAGCCTCGACTTATGACCACAATTGAGCCCATAATTTCTGTTGTCAAGTGAGACATTTGTAAAGTGAGCTTTGCCCTATTTTATGACCTTTCTTGTCACAGTTGTGAATTTGATAATTTAGTAACCCAGTTAAGTGAATCTGGCTTCCCCACTGAGTTTGCTTGTTGTAGGTTGCAAAAGATGATCACATGACCTTGGGACACAGCAATGGTCATAAGTATGAACCAGCTGCCAAGCCTCTAAATTTTGATCACATGATCATGGGGATGCTACAAAGGTTGTAACTGAAAAAATGGTCATGTCACTTTTTTCAGTGCCATTGTAAATTTGAATGGTCACTAAATGAACTGTTGTAAGAAGTACTACCTGTATATCTCTACAAAAATACAGCAGAACAATGACAAAAACCATCTGAAGATGGCCACCCAACCAACCAGAGGAAATAAATGAGCTTTTTGCTAGTCAGCTAACTAAGGCATGTAGGAAGAATATCACAATAGTAATGGGGGACTTTAAGTACACTGACTGTGAGACAAACTCTGCACCTAGTGGAAGAAGATCAAACAGATTGTCAACTCTGAAGCGAACCTGGCTGCCTCTTGTGCTGCCTCATAGTTGCCATGAAGCCCAAGAGGGGGAGGGGGGGAAAGTAGATAGCCCGGCTCCAATCAAAACAAAATGCTTTCTGTGGGAACCAAGGTCATTGAAAAAGGTGGCTGTTGAAAGTGGAGAAGAGCCTGCCTTCCATCTTCATTGGACAATGTGACCAGTGTCACCTGGGAGGGGGAGTTATGCACAATGTAGCCATCTGCAACCTATGCTTATACATCAACCCCTTTGCAGTGTAGGTATGCAGGGGCACCTAGGCACAGTTGCAGGCAGTTCTAAATCAAGCAAGTTTCAATGTGACTCATAGTTTGCCAGCAAAATTTCCACCTCCCTATTTCCTCCAGCAACCTACTACCAGAGCACATGCTGTAGTTTAGTTGACACAATGCAACAAAGCCTAACTCAAGTTAACAAAGTATAACAGTCCAACAAATCAATCAAAATTATGGCCTAATAGAATGGTATTCCTGTCACATACTGAACTACGGTCACCCACTACCATCCGTTTTTGCTAGGACCAGTGCGTTGCATAAACCTAGCCTTCAAACATCATGCAGGAACAGGACATGGATTTGTTGACAGAGCCATATTATTTTTAGGCAGTTTTTTACAGGCCAGGGACCATAAAGGGGATTAGAAGCAATGTGAAGAACAACCAGCCCTGGAATTGTGGGCTGTTTCATTTTTGTGTGTCTAGGTTTTCCCCAGATAAAAGAGACATTTTGCTTACCATCCTTTACTTATTTTGTAAGCGGAACAAATTAACACAAAAAAACCTCCAGAAAATCCAACCCATTAGGTGCAAAATCAGTTTTCATTTCTGACTGACTAGAAATTACTGTAAAACAAAAGCATCCACCATACAGAGCTTCAACGGGGGATTCAAAGAGGTCCACCCTGCAGTCTGAATTTTAAGGCTTAAAAGTTTATTCTTGAGCGGGGAAAAGCAGTTCAGGGTGGAGACAGAATGTGAATAGAAAAGCCGCTGAGAATACGGTTCTTGTTGGTAGACAGGGGTCTATATATCCTGCCAAAGGAAGGATTCCCCTTTGAACCGGAGTGGGAGCTGCTCGGTCGGGCCGAGCGGGGGAAGCAGCCTCGGCCTTCCCAAGCGAGCGACGGGTCTTGCCGCGTGGCCCCCGGACCGCTCACTTGCCCGCCGGCGTCGGCCGAAGGAACTCGGTCCTGCCCTTGCCTCGGCCGCCGAAGGTGCGGACGCGGTGGATGAGCTGCAGCTGCTGCTCGATCGTGGCCCGGATGTCCACCTCGTCGGGGATGTGGACGTAGCGGACGTTCCTGCCGGTGATGAAGAGGTCCTGCAGGCGGCGGGCGCGGCCGTGGCGGTCGGTGAAGGTGGCCTCGCCCAGGCGGACGTTCATGAAGGCGTCCACGTTGACGACGCGGCCCACGGCCACGCTCTCGTCGCGCAGCTCCACGGTGGTGACGCGGCTGTGCAGGCCCTGCAGGAGCAGCACCAGGCTGTTCTCCGCGATGGTGCGCTCCTTCACCGAGTGGCTGATCTCCATGGCTCAGCCGGAAGACGCCGCGGCCCGCATCCAGGCCCCCGCTTTCTAGCGCTCCCTCCGCCGCCTACCTGCCCCGCTCGCCTCGGAAGGCAGGCCCGCCGCCTTCGCCTCAGGGACGAAAGAGCCCGGTCGCCCGCGCAGCGAGGCCCCGCCCCCCAGAGCCGCGCTGCCATTGGCCGGCCAGAGTCCGTCCTCCCGTGTTGGAGCCATGCCATTGGCTGGGCTGCGTGGAGAGAGCACGAATGGCCGGACCGGATGTTCGGCCCCGGAAGAGGAGCTTGCCGCCTGCAGCTCCCTCCCCCTTTATCCGCCTCACAGCAGCCCGGCTCAGCCGGTGGCGGCCGCTTCATCGCTAACGCGCGGACTGAACTCTCTCTTCCGAGTCCTGTGCGGGATGGGGCCGAAGGTGTGTGGGGGGGGCGCCTGGTCAGTGATTTCTGAAGTGGTTTCATGTGCAGCAAAATGCAGTTCAGGTTTTACAGTTAGAACCAGTGGTGGGTTTCAATTTTTTTTACTACCGGTTCTGTGGGCGTGGCCTGGCTTGGTGGGCGTGGCAGGGGAAGGATACTGCAAAATCCCCATTCCCTCCTGATTAGCTGGGACTCGGGAAGCAGAGAATAGATGGGGGCGGGGCCGGTCAGAATTTTTATTACCGGTTCTCCAAACTACTCAAAATTTCCGCTACCGGTTCGCGAGTTACGAATGTCAACTCACAAAGCATCCCTGGCCTGCTCTCTAGTTGCCGTAGGCCAGGGAGGATGGGAAACGGTGAAATGGCACATCAGCCAAAGACAGATGCACATTCCAGGCTTCTCTCTCTCAAGCCTGTATCCCAGGGCTACCTACATGTGATTGAAGACACACCCTGGGGGGAGGGGAGAAACGGGGTCATAATTGGAGCGTAAATTACCTAGGGTCAGAGCTGGCTTCCCTTGGGAACGTGCAGACATGAAGCTCCTAATAAATAACTGGATTTCTTTTGAAGCTTGGTTCGAGACTCATGATTTAATTAGGGCATCCGTCTGAACTTTGACAACGAATGGAATGGAACCAGTGCAAACAGACTGAATCCCTCCACTGGGAGATAACGGGGGAGGAACAGAAATGGAAAGTTAACTCAGAAACCTTTGAATGCAAACTTTCAGATCTGGCTTTGTTGTATGTAACCACTTGGCTTTTAGTAAAAGTATTCCTTTCGAACAAATGGAGTTGAGGGTGTTAGGAAATGGTTATTTCTCTAACTAGTTGGTCAGGCAATATATAAACCGACAGTGTATGTTTGCAGTCAGAAAGGTATTATATTGCTTTAAGACTGTATTGCATCATCCTGTATCCTGATTGGCTAAGCTCTGTAGCCAATGTACTTAAGGGAAGTCAGGATCATGGCTTGTGTGGACACTACACCATTTTACCTGCTTATTTGCTGTAACTCTCTACGTGATCTCTCCATGATCACTGTTTGATCATAACTACATGTTGCTTTCTACTATTTATTGAATGTTTTGATATTGAACTTGTTTTGAAACTCAAGAACAACTTTTATTTTGAATGATTACAACTGGTAAGAAGACTTTGTACTTGAAATATCCCTGGATTTATCTTTTAGCTCACATCTGTGTTTGACTTGGATTGTTTTTGGACTTTGCTTTACTTTTTCTAAAAGTAAAAGACTACAACAATTCAGTGTGTTTGTATGTTGACTGTGATTGTTCACAACCACTCCCAGTTGCTTTTCATGCGTTTACTCAAAGGGTACTCTGCTCAATAACCCACAACATCGGTTATGAGCCAAGAAAATCCTTAACAGAGGGTTTTTCTTTCCTAAGAATCCAAGTTGGGGCAGGTGTGACATAGAAGTGGGGAAGTCACCTATTCTCCAAAACACCTGAGGGCAGGACAAGAAGCAATGGATAGAAGCAAAGGGAAATTCAACTTGGAAATGAGAAATTTGACAGTTAAAACTATTAACCAATGGAACGACTTCCCTCCTGAAGTTGTGGGTGCTCCATCACTGGAGGTTTTCAATAAGAGATTAGACAGCCATTTATCTGAAATGACATAGGGTCTCCTGCCTTGAGCAGTGGGTTGGACTAGACCTCCAAGATCCCTTCCAACTCTTATCATTTCTGCTTTGGCCTTTCTGTTGGCAACCAGAGCATTTATCCATTTACGCTGACTGGGCCAGAAGCAGTCTCCCTTGCACCCATATAAATGTAAACATGGAGGAAGGCTCTGCCTATCCTCTGGCCTACTTACACAACAACCTCCTCCCCCCGCAACTGTCTTCTGTATAGTGCGACATAGATGGAACTGGTTTTCAGAGGAGCAGTAGATATTGGTATGCACAGCAGACAGCTTCAGATGATGATTGCAGAAGCCAGCCCTTAGTCTTTTCTGCGACTCAGCAGCATTGCAAAACTCAGGCAGAATCCATGGCCATGGATGCACAGCAGATCGGCTGGATCACTTTAGGCAGCCCCACCTGACCCCTCCTCCTGGAAACCAAGATTGTCTGCATGAGATGTCTTAGGCCAGCATTAGGCCAGTAAGAATCTTGGTGGCGCAGTGGTTAGAGTGCAGTACTGCAAGCTACTTCTTCATCACCGGCTGCCAGCAGTTTGGCAGATCAAATCTCACCAGGCTCAAGGTTGACTCAGCCTTCCATCCTTCCGAGGTGGGTAAAATGAGAACCCAGATTATCGTGGATGGTATGCTGACTCTGTAAACCGCTTAGAGAGGGCTGTAAAGCACTGTGAAGCGGTATGTAAGTCTAAGTGCTATTGCTATTACATGGAAACACCACTTCCACCCTGGGACACTTAAAGCCATTTTTGAGCCCCTTTAGTAATGAACTAATGATGTCCTTGGCAAAGAGTAAGTTTGTACCCTGGCAAGGTGGCCATTTTTATGTTTTCTTCCCATCTTCTGAATTAGCATGGGTGCTTATGTAAATTGTACTGAGCTTTACTGCACCTCACAAAGAGGGTAGGCAGCCAGGTGGCCCCATAGTTTTTAATGTGGGTCAATTTCAGGGCGACAAGTGGTAGATTCCCTGCCCTCCTTTTCCCTTCCACCCTCAGTCATCCACTAGCAAGAAACACAGTCACCAGTCACTCTCCTAAATTTGGAGTGGATTTGGGGGGGGGAGGGGGGCTCAGATTTTTCTTATTTGTTTTTTGTTGCAGGACCAGATTATTTTTGGTACTATCATATTGGGGTGTGTGTGTGTGTGTGTGTGTGTAAAGAAAATAAAACAACCATAACCTCATTTGCCTGAAATGCCCTGGGTGTAACAGCTGAAAAAATAAGGCTGTCCTAGAACAATCAGTTTGTTATGGGACTCCAATATAATTTTAGTTTTGGCTTAGTTAGTATATTATGTGAACTCTAACCAACTATATGATAGATACCAAGATGAAATAATACATCTAGGAGAGTCAAGTCAGCTCTGGGAGAGAAATAACTTTAATCAGATTTTGATTACAAAAATTTACACGAGTGAGCACTGCAATGAAACAAGGTTGTCTTATTTACAGCTGCAGCTAAAAATAGCTGCAATATCATTGTAAATTTAGCTTTTATGGTAACAAATTGTTACTTCATAGTATGCATTTTTATTTACAAAACGTACCTGGGGATTTATGGGTTTTCTTTTTAACAATAGCTAACACGAGCAGCGTCATTACTAGCACAGGAACAAAACTACTATCCAGTAGAATGTCTTCCCACACTTGTGCCCACATTTTCCTAATGCCAGAGAAAAGACAGTTCTAGTTAAATGGATCTCAGACAATTCCGAAATTTCACGTCTTAACAAAAATGGATAGTTTAAGAACCCATTCTGTTCTATCCGACTTAGGTCTTCTTACATCAAGCTGAGTGTCCTAACATTCCTTTGCATTAAAGCTGTGTGGCTCTTCAGAGCTGAGGGTTATAGCTTATCCATCATCGCCAACAAATCACATTCTTTGCTGTTTGTCTCACCGTGCTGTTCTGACATCTCAAATTCCCCCATGATACGATCTAGCTCCTCGTTCCGTTGCTGGTCCTGTTTCAATAAATGTTGCAAGTAAGTATTTATGTAAGAATAGAAGTGTGGACAAAATACAATATCACCCTAACACAGTATGAATGAAAATGTATGGATTTAAAATATCTCATTTGAACAAAACAGCTCTTAAAAAATCCACTCAATAGAGTTAAGAGCCACAGTGGTGCAGTGGTTAGAGTGCAGTACTGCAGGCTACTTCTGCTGACTGCCGGCTGCCTGCAATTTGGCAGTTCAAATCTCACCAGGTTCAAGGCTGACTCAGCCTTCTATCCTTCCGAGGTGGGTAAAATAAGGACCCAGACTGTTGGGGGCAATGTGCTGACTCTGTAAACTGCTTAGAGAGGGCTGTAAAGCACTGTGAAGCAGTATATAAGTCTAAATGCTATTGCTATTGCTAATTCTATTTACAGAATTGGTGAATAATGTAAGAGTAGTATATTTTTGATAGTCTCAAGAAGTTCTCTATAAAATATGGACTAGAAGATTAATTAGATGCATTCACACTTGGCTGAATGATCATATCCAAAGAGAGTTCACTATTTTTGACTTCAAACAACAGCTATATGATAATCATTGAAATAAGCTGTAGAAAATCCTGCACTGAGCATTTAAGCTAACCTTTAAGAATTTTTCCAACTTTATGCTATAACATCTCGTCTTTTCTTTTGTCAGCTAAATCCAGTTTCTTTAGCCGTTCCTCATATTATTTGTTTCCAGATCCCCTTAATCCTGGGAGCTTTCTCTAAATTCATGCTTGTTTCCTAATGTCCAGAACAGAATCCAAGTCTCCCAAGTAAGATCTAAATTGTGAAAGTTAGGGGATTATTATGACCTGGCTGCAACATTTGCGAATTCAGTTCAAGACCTTTTTAGCCGTTGCATCGCTCTGTTTGTTAATGTTGAATTAGCCAGAAGCAGTTTCTCACACACAGGCATTCTGTGTGGGAGATTATCTGAATTTCAATTCTGTCTTCAGTCACCTAGCTTGATATAATTTACAAATCTGATAAGCTTCCATTCCATCCCCAAGGCCATTTATAAAAATGCTGAATAGTGCTAGGCCATGGATGCAGAACCATTTACTAGTATCTTCTCTGTGTGGTGGTTTAAGCAATTTTAACCTACAGTAGTGGCCAAAATTGTGGAAACCTTTTGGGAAAAGTGTATTTTTGAGGTTTGATGGCTAATAACACCACTTTTTTGGGGAGTAGTACCATAACATTATATATCAAAGGAAAGATAATTTAATCAAAAATGTAATGCAACGAAGTTTGTTCAATTATCTGTATTCTATGAAAAGTTATAGCCCAATAACCAGAAAAAGGAAGCACAATTTGCTTAGGTTGATATTGGGTAGCTTTCCTTCATCTGATTGTAGCCAATGAGCATGAGTGTTTAGAGAACCAATCAGATGTCGTCTTGTTTTGGCAATAAGCCAATCAGATCACAGTAGGATTCAGTTATTGATGTCATGTATTGAAGCTGAGAGGAGGACATTTGTCTGTGTTATGTGATTGCTATTAAATTGGTTGGGTTTTTTTGTGTTCTGTCATTTAGTAAGCTTGTAAAACATAAAAAAATTAAAGTAATGGTGCAAAGAGTTGACTGGTCACCCAGAAAGTGATGTAAAATAGTATTATTAAGTGAACAAGGCTACAGTTACAGTAGTGGCCAAAATTGTGGAAACCTTTTGGGAAAAGTGTATTTTCTAAAACTAGCTAATAACACTATTTTTTTTTGGGAGTAGTACCATAAAATTATATATCAATGGAAAAATAATTTAATAAAGAATGTAATGCAATAACTTTTATGAAGGATTTGCTATTAGAATAGCAGTTACAGTATAAAGAAAAGTGAAACACGTAGAAAAACGAGATATACAAAAATTATCACTATAGAAAAAACAAGATATACAAAAATTATTAGTCAGTTAATATTTAGTTGGATAACTTTTAGCATGAATTATGGCCTTACAACGTCTTCCCATGGAGTGAACCAAGTCTTTTAATTCTGCAGCTGTTGTAATGTGAAACCAAGATTGAATTATTGCTTCTATTAACAGGTTTTATTGCTGGGTCACTTCTGACTAACAAGTTTCTTTAGTCGGCTCCATAGATTGTCAATTGGGTTAAGGTCTGGGCTATTCCCAGGCCATTCCAGCAATGGAATATGATTATCTTGAAACTCCAAAAATAAGTGGTGTTCTTAGCCATCAAACCTCAAAAATACACTTTTCCCAAAAGGTTTCCACAATTTTGGCCACTACTGTATAAAGAAATTAGAAAAAAAATTGGTGGAAACTTAATCAAGGGTGGCATTTCTAAGTTTTTGAAGAGGTATAAGGAGACTCAGTCAGTACAAAACCATACTGGTAAAGGCAGGAAAAGGTGCACAATAGCAAGTGATGCTAGAAGATTTAAGAGCCTGTGCCTCCGTGACAGAAGAAAATCATCTGGGTGTATACAAAATGAAATGGCGCAATGCAATGTGTTGAGTGCAAGAACTGTTTGGCGCAGATTGCAGGAATTTGGCCTAAAATCTAGAATTCCATGGAAAAAGCTAGTTTTGTCTCTCAAACAAAGGTTGAAAAGGATTATATTCTTGATTAAATTATCTTTCCATTGATATATATATATTTATGGTACTACTCCCAAAAAAAAGTGGTGTTATTAGCCATCAAACCCCAAAAATACACTTTTCCTAAAAGGTTTCCACAATTTTGGCTACTACTGTATACTGGAAACAATGCCAACATTTGATCTATCTCAATCACAAGTATATCAGGGGAGACTTTGCCAAACACTTTACTGAGATTACGGAGCATTACATCCACAGCGATCCCAAGCTTAGCCTAAGGGACTGGTCTTCTGCTACCTCCTTCCAGCACCTAAGGGTGTAACTTGTCAGGAATGTATTACGACATCACATAAATTCTTCAACTTCTGTATTTACAGTATGTCAGACATCAGAATGTACATGTGGATGTGGATATTTTGGCATTGCTGTGGCTAGCTATGAATGCTGCTGGTCAGAACATAAAGACTTAAGATTTGTTTAGGAAACAAAGACAATCTTTCTCTATGTCAGAGGTGTCAAACTCAAGGCTTGCGGGCTGAATCTGGCCCACGGGATGCTTAGATCTGGCCCATGGGCCCGCCCAGGAAACAGCGAAGGACCTGCCCACGGTGCCTCTGCCAGCAAAAATACGCGCCCTCCCTGAGCTCTGTTTTTGCTGGCAGAGGGCTGCAGGAGGCTGCCGCGGCCAAAAACAGAGCCTCGATGAGTGACGTTGAGCTGGCCACGCCCCCAGCTCCCCCAGGGTCAAACACAACCCTAATGCAGCCCTCAATGAAATCAAGTTTGACACCCCGCTCTATGTCTTTATCAATCCGGAGTTACACTTCCTACCCCCATTTCCTTGATTGAGTTAGGAAAGGCTCTAACATACCATCCATAATTATTACTCTTTACTTCCATTTCCTCTATATCCTCTTTGTGCTTTTCAATTTGCCAGTGAACTCATGATTCATCCATAATGGATTCTTAACACTTCTCATTTTCCTTTTCACAGAAATGGATCATTTGTGTGTATACTTTTAATATTTTGTTTTTCATGATCTATTCCAGACTTATTTATCTGATAGGATTTTGAGCCATGGTGTGCTGCCTTCCTTTAATCTAGCTTATTATTAAAACAAGCTTCTGGAAGTCCTAGCTACATGACTGACTTCCCTCAGTTTTTCCTCCCCCATTTTTCTTAAAAGCCATGGAGAAGGTGGGGCCTCTCAGTGACTATAATGACTTGTTATGTTTGGTTACAATGCTATCTTTCGCTGAATGTCGGCTACAAGGAACAACCAACTGGGACTGGCTTCGGTCTGCATATGGGTCCATGGAAGTTTTTAACTATTTTGCACAGAAAAAATATTTTCAGACTAATCCACAAATACAGTGGAGTATTTCTAATGAATGTGTGCTGTCTAAAAACATCTTGTTTTTGTATTTTATTAACTGGAACAAAAACATTAAGAGGTATATGAAACTTAAAAGCTTACATATACAAACTGAAGTTGCTCCAGTTAGAAGAAAATGTGTATTACTCATTTTTTGAAGAAATAATAAGATGCAGCAATAAATGTCTACCTGGTCTGCATGGATATTGAGAACTTGATAGGATAACTCCTCTGGGCGAGTCAGGGCAGCGTGTCTTAAGAGATCAGAATAAATACAATTGATTAATTAATTAATTAATCTCCATATATTGACTTTTTATCACTAACTCATTTCTGGAGTATGACGCCTGATATTTCAAAGGCCAAGGGCAACTCTGGATATATGGAAAACCCACCACCATTGCTACTACCATTGAAAGCCAAGTATCATACTCTTCCTCCTCATCAGTGGTGAAAAGATTCAGACGAAAACCAGCCTCCTTGACTAGGGGCTTCTTGATCTCCAAGCCACCCATCAGCCTGGCTAATAAATTCAGCTCTTCTTTAGCAAGAGGGTTGGGAGCAGTGTTCTCCTGCATTGACAACAAAATTTCTAAGAGCTATGGAAAGAAACATGTAAATTACACAACCAATGTTATTGGTGCTAATTATTGGTTTCCCAATTTCTCCTATCTGGAAACCAGTAGGTTTGAAATACCACTCTCCCCCCCATCCCTTTCACTTAGTAAGTAGCCCTGGAGTAAAGCAGAATCCACCTTAACATTAGTTGCAATGGATATAGTTAGATCCCAACAGAAGGAAAGAAACTTGAAATCAAAATTAGAAAGTTTTACAGAATACTCTAAACAAATAACTTCTAGACAGAGTGTCTGCTCCAGTGTAGTAATCTAGGGATTTAGGATATTAATCATGAAACAATCAAATGAACAAAATGAAATGAGGAGCAAAACAGCCTTGATCTGTGTTTCTGAGGGTAAATCAAAGACACTGACCTTAACACGAGATGCCAAGTTTTTGGTGGCCCCTGATACATCTGTCTCTACAGGTCGGCTGATGCTGTATCTAGAGATTAATTGAATTTATGTACATAAGAGGCATAGAGGAAAGTTGCTGAAAGTCCCAAACTGAAATGATGCCAACCATGACTTACATGTTTGTTCCCAGTCTAATGACTCTGTCTCCATGAAGGTTAAATGAGCCTTCCCGATACGGAAGAACATAATTTCCTCCACTGCGGAACTCAATCCTCTGAATTTCATCTCCTTTATTGTTAAAAAGTCTGTAACATTGTAAAGTGTAAATACCGTTTCCTTTTTTCTTATACAATAGATGGGAGAGTTTGGGGACTGAAAAATTCACTCATCAACCCAACCTTGTGAACACTGTTAACCCCCAAAAGGCAGCCTGCAGTATGAAGCTGGGGATTCACATCCATTTGGACTGGTGATCAGCACCTGATCCAGTTAAGGATAGTTTAGGAAAAAGGCAAGTCAAAGGATTCACCTGATGAGTCCAGGGATCTCTGTCCCCCAAGGAACTGAACTTGAGGTTGGCAGCACAAAATGGCCGTTGGAATTCTGGACTTTATCTTTTAAGAGAATGGAAACCTATAAAGAAATACCAAGACTTGTCAATAAAGCTGCTTCACTTGGAAATCACTTATGCTAAACATTTTCCTTTTACCATTATCACACCATGGAAGTAATGTGTAACATGCCTACCCTGATATGTATGTCCTGGAAAAAGATGAGCAGCGTTTGCCGGATGAGCTGAAGTTCCCCAGCAGAGAGCAAGACGTAGGTCTAGAGAAAAGAATCAGAAGCGACAACATCTGATGAGTTCTTAGTTCTTCTTGCCCATTTTAGAGCTAAGTGGACCAAGTATTTCACATGGCCTCATACCTGTCACCAGATTATTATCATATTTATTTTGATGATAGGTTGTAGGACCCCACTTTTAAGCCAAATCTCTCAGTTCCAATGATCAAACTGGAAATCTAGATGCAGGTGCATCATGCTTATGCAATTTAGAATTAATTTCATAATATTTTAAATATTTAAGATATACTTTTAATATGGATATCTGATAAGCATATATGTAAATGACGTGATGGTTCTGTTTTTTATTTATTTATTTATTTTATTTTTATATGCCGCCCTTCTCTGGAGACTCAGGGCGGCTTACAATGCGTTAAGCAATAGCCTTCATACTTTTGTATATTTTATACAAAGTCAGCTTATTGCCCCCACAAACCGGGTCCTCATTTTACCTACCTTAGAAAGGATGGAAGGCTGAGTCGACCTTGAGCCTGGTGAGAATTGAACTCGCAGTAATTGCACGCAGCTGGATGTTAAATGCTGCCTTAGTAGGAGGCATTAGTCTCCTACACCACTCAGGCTCCTGTTTGATCGTTCACTGACGGTGTATCACTGAACCATCAGCGTTCATTCTATGCCATGGCTGTTTATACAATATATTTAACTACAGTAAACTAAACTATAGTAATTTATTTAATTTTCCTAGATTTTTGGATGTGCATGAGAGACTAAAGCAGTGTTTCTCAACCTTGGTACTTGAAGATGGGTGGACTTCAACTCCCAGAATCCCCCAGCTAGCAGCGCTGGCTGGGGGATTCTGGGAGTTGAAGTCCACCCATCTTCAAGCTTCCAAGGTTGAGAAATACTGGACTAAAGCATAAACTAACTCTATCGTATGGCTATGCATAACGTGCAAGGTTAAAATTGTAAGTGATTACTTAGGAATTGAGGGTGTCATGAACCCAGCTCATCTGCAATTCACTTGTTCCTTCCATTAACTTTATTCCCAGAAAGCTAAATCTACTGTTGACAAAGCTATAATTCTTTCTATAATTTACGTTGCCTTTTATTTTTTTATACTTTTTCTGTACAGAAGATAGAAGGTAGGGCATTCATACATCAATGAACTTGCGCATGGTAACATCAATTTGGTTCAGAATTTTCGGTGATTCATAGACAAAATCCTTAATGGCGTCCAGGTGGTTGAAAGTGATGAGCAGAAGGTCCTTGGGTCGAAGGCAGAGGAGAACTTGGTACTTGAAAGCCATAGTCATTAGATCATAAAGCTACAGAATAAGCAAGAGATATCAGTTAATTACAGAGGGCAGGTCAGGCAGCAGCATTTATAAAGTTACTTATATTTTGTTAGAACACAGTAACTGACTTCGCATCTCATTCTAATACAGCTAGAAGGATTTTACTTGAAGAATACCAGTAATCCTGGCTAGCTTTCAGTGCAATGTTAGTTAAAATGCAGGAAATACCCTTTGCATTCATGCCCAGGACCTAGCAACAATATATTGCACATTATTTACTTAAATGCATAGGGTGATGGTTACAATTAAAAATATTAAGATATACAGATAGTCCTTGATTTACAACAGTTCATTTAGTGACTGTTCAAAGTTATGACAACATTGAAAAAAGTGACTTATGACCATTTTACATATGACTGTTGCAGCATTCCCATGATCACATGATCAAAATTTGGACACTTGACAACTGGCATGAATTTATGACCCCAGGGTCCTGCGATCCCCTTTTGAGACCTTCTGACAAGCAAAGTCAATGGGGAAGCCAGATTCGCTTAACAACCAGGTTACTAATTTAACAACTACAGCGATTCACTTAACAATTCTTATAAAAAAGATCACAAAAAGGGGCAAAATTCATTTAACAACTGTCTTGCTTAGCAACAGAAATTTGGTGCTCAATTGTAGTTGTAAGTCGAGGACTTCCTGTAATAAGCAGAAGCAACAGCGAAAAAGAAGTATGAAATTAATTGAAAGCCCTCAGTTGATAAAGCAAATGATTTGAAATATCTCAGCAGCAAACTTACTAGACATTATCACATCTGCATTCCGATATTGACCAAAACTTAGATCTTAAATGTGTATGCATATTTTATATAATGTAAAGTAAATAAGTAAGTATTCACTTACCACATAGTTTCTTGAAAAAGATTACAAGTAGTTCATTGAAGAATACACATATAAACACATTAATGAAATATTCAGATGCTTTCCCTTAGCAAAGAACATCTTGGTAGCTATTTTGTTCAATAATGCTATTGATATGAATGGAAATCAGCCAAATGAGAATTGAACATATGAATGAGTGAAGCTGAATGTGAGAGTTCAGACTGCCATTTTGGAAGGCTGATGAGGACAAGTTATGGGATGAACAAGTCCAGGGAGAACATGTTTTAAGGGCTAAGACACTTGTTGGTTAAGAAAGCAGAAAAAGACAGGTAGACATTCCATAAGACTACATGACACCATATTTTGTCGTTAGCTATAAAGTCAGTAGGCATTGATGTGATTAAGCACATACACTGAAAATCAGTATTTCAGATAATTTCTCCCCTTCCATGTGCATCTATGTTTCAAGTTGTGTGAACTTAACAATGGCTTTTCTTGATAAAAAAAAGGGTTACCCAGATTCATAAGAAGATATCTAGAGAAAAAGAAAGGTCTGACCTCACCTTATCCATACTGGGGGCATTCAGTCTCATGATGGAGGCATGAACCAACCGCTCAAAAACTGCCCTTAGGGCTTTCCTGGAATAGAGTTCCTGCGGCTTAAACAACTCATCCATAAAATTTTTACTGAAGATGCCCCCAATGATGTCATTCATCACTGAAAAATAAAATAATCATAATTGTTAGAAATCAATTGTTTTAGTTTCCCCAGGAAGAAGCAGGTGTTTTGCAATTCAGAAGACGTGCTGCTGAGGCTGCTTTTTCACTTGAACTTCCTTGCCAGAATATTCCTCCATTGAACAAGAGGCATGCAGAAGATTATTTCCTGATTTCTTGCTGAGGGTTTCACTAGACTGATAGCAATGCAGGAATTGGAAAACATTTTCTTATATTTGGAAAAGAGATGCTCAAAACTGCTTCACCGCTGTTCCTACACCAGGCAATTCCTTCTTCCAACAAGATGGAAAGGAAATGTTTGCAAAATCCAAGAAGCATATTTTTCAACTTTAGTAGTTATAATTTGCAACATTAGTTTTTGCACACTGCTTCAGTTCTGCTTCTTGCAGTCATGACAAAACATTTTTAAATATGATGTAACTTATTGTGAAAAATAATATCTCAGTTTTAAGATTCTCCAATTAGTTGGGCTAATCTTCTCATTAACTTCTCATTAACTCTTTCTCATTAAAAGAGGATCCCTTTTTCTTATGAGGATCATATTTTAGGCATAGTAGTTTAATTATCAATATTTAGGTGGCATTCAGTAGTATTACTTAAACATTTATGTTTGTTTGTTTTTTGTTTGTTTGTACCCTGCCCATCTCACAGTTTGAGGCAACTCTGGATGGAGTTGTTTTTCCTGCCCCATAAGATCCATAATCTGGATCTCCTGGCTTTGAAGAACTCTCTACTCCATGAATTACCAGACGTTAATAACCTTGAACACTGAAGTGACTCAGACTTTCTAACTGTGACTTATATGGGAGGATCAGATACCAAACAGGCTGGAAATTAACCCATTATCAGCACTGCTTCATCAGGCCTGAGATCAGATTCAAATTAATTACAGAAGTGTTGACTGTCCTTGAGGTTGATGAAGACACTGTCAAGTATTATCCAATATTGTCATTTTTCCTTTCTATGGTGGAGGGAGACAAACATTGAATTTCTTCAGTTCTCTGCACAACTGTCAGAATTCATTGTGACTCCACAACACACTTAACTAGGCCTGTTGCAAATGTATTGGTTGCATTTGCACAGCTTACTTTTAAACTGAGGTGTGGGGTTTTTTTGGAGCTTCATATGCATATATTGTAACCTAGCTCACATGATTGAGTGAATTGTGGAAAACCAGAAAATGGGTTAAGGGCAATTGTATGGACATTCCCCACAATGTCTTTTCTATCTGCCACTTTTATTTTTTCCCTAGCGTCATTCAGCCTAGCATCCAATTGATGTTGCTAATCACAGACTCTCCAGAGACAGATATGCAGCACAATTCCCTCCGGACAAACTCTGAAACATAAAATATCCCTACGAAAGCCTTCATCATGTTGCTTGTGTGCTGATTAGACAAATCAAAAAACATCTTAGCCATTCAGTACTGACCCAGTGGAAGAGCCTTTTGCATTGTGCTACCCCCACAACACAAGCCATATTCAGAGGGTAGGAGGTAGGGACTTAATTACTCATTTTTAACCGGGGATTCCTGAATTGTTCCAGGACCTGTAGCAGAAGCCTGCTGCAATTTGTACTTGGGGTGCCCTGAGACTGAACCCCCCAAGGAAACAATTAAAAGAAAGGAATGCTACGCAGCCACTGTATTGTACATTTACCATTCGGAGCTGAGTTCTTTTTAGAAACCTGTTGCTCAAATCTATGCAAGTTAAGTGTTTTTTTTCTAAATAAATGATTATCCCCTACTCCTTGTTTACCTGCAAGACTATGGTACAGCATAGGTAAGCGGATCAAAGGTAGCACACTGGGGTAATAATTGTGGCTGTCACTAGTGCCCACCACAAATTGCAATGATGCCAAATGCCACCATGAGTTCCCATGCATGAGTTCCAAACATCTGATGCCATACCCAAGAGGCAGGCAGGCAGGCAGGCATTTGCATGATAATGCCACGCATGTACTGTTATTTACTCCCCACAGACCCTCACTGTTGCAGTCTGCTTTGCATCACTATCTATTAAATTGATTACACAAACAAAAATTTTATGACAGTATGAACAAATGTTGCAAAGTCATACTGAATGGTACTGAAAAGATCTTCAAACAATAAACTTTGGGATAGAGCAGATTTCTCCATCTTGGTGTCTTTCCAGATGCCTTAGAGTAGAAATTTCATCATCCCCAACCTTACCCAAGATCTCTGAGGATGATGGAAAGTGAACCTATATATCTGGAGGGCACCAATTTATGAAGAGATTAGATTAGAAGTAGCAGATTAAGGCAGTTATCTGCAAGAATTGGTGCCCTGGTTACTAATTCTACAGCAGAAGCAACTGATAGAAGGGGAAACAAACGACCAAAACTTTTTGCATTCTGCATATGAACAATTAGACATTGTTCATGCAACCCAGAGTGTTTCATAGCATTTTAGAGTTGGAAGGCACCCTTGAGGCCATATGTGCTTTACACAGGGCTACATTTGAAAACAATGTGGAGGCTAAAACTGGTACATAATGCAGTGATTGCATCATGCCTGTATGCCAGACTTGCTACTGCACAGACTCACAAAATGAAAGGAGTTGGAAGGGAGTCTAGAGATCATCTAGTCCAACTCTCTTGCCCCCTGCAAGAGTCTATAACATCAACATTCCTGATCGATGGCCATTCAGTCTGTGTAAATGCCTTTAGCAAAGGAGAGCCTACCATTCTCTAAGGCAGTATTTCTTAAACATTTACATATATTTTGTACTCTTCCCCCCCATATCTATTCAAAATTGATTTTCTTGCTATTTAAACTTGTTTCTTGTACTTTCTTGTTTTGTTTCCTAAAATAGCTCTGAATAATTCTGCCCTGCCTTCTACATGATAGCCTTTCAGATACTTGAAGACATATCCCAACCTCCAAATATTCCTTGCGAGATTTTCCTTGCATTCTTACTATATTGATTGCATTCCCATGAACAAACTTCAGTTTATCAACGTCCTTCCTAAAATACAATATACAGGGATGAATGCAATAGTCTAGATCCAGTCTGGCTAATGCAAAACAGACAATGAGTTTTGTTGATCTTAAGAACCTGTAATTCTGTTGATGCAGCCTATGATTGCTTTTGCTTCTGAAAAGGACCCAGAATCTTTCGGAGTTTACTGCTACTCAATATGGAGCTCGCATTCTATACACATACTTTTCAATTTTCCTACCCAAATGTAGGAAAATTGCCCATAATATTTATCCCTGCTCAAATTTATCTTGTTGATCTGAGTTATTCTTCAAGTTGTCACATCTTCCTGATTTCTGATATTATCCTCTAAAACAATGTTTCTCAACCTGGGCAACTTGAAGGAAGGTGGACTTCAATTCCCAGAATCCTTCAGCCAGCAATACTAAATTCAATAGAATAGAATAGAATAGAATAAATAAAATAGAATAGCATAGAATAGCATAGAATAGAACAGAACAGAACAGAACAGAATTCTTTATTGGCCAAGTGTGATTGGACACACAAGGAATTTATCTCTGGTGAATAAGCTCTCATTGTACAAGCAACAAGTGATAAATCATTATTATAATCATCATAAACATACACTCATCATAAATCATATGATACAACACTTAGTGATAGTCATAGGATACTAAATCAACATAAATCATATTAGGATGCTAAATAAAACAATTAATATAAATCATAAGATATAAGCAACAAACTTGTAGTCATAAGGAGATAGATAATAGGAAAGATGAGAAGGATAATATAGTCCTACTAGGTAGTTTGACAGTATTGTGGGGATTAGTTGTTTAGCAGAGTAATGGTATGGGGGGAAACTGTTCTTGTGTCTATCGTCTTGATGTGCAAATGCCCTGTAGCGTTGTCTTGAGGGAAGAAGTTGAAACAGCTTATGTCCAGGATGTGAGTGGTATGTAGATATTTTTCACAGTCCTCTTTCTGGCTAAGAGGTTTACTAGTTCCTCATTTCTATTCTATTTCTTCATTATTGAACAGTATGATGCAGACTTACTTAAAATGCACTGAAGCATACCTGTTCGGCAGGATAACATTTTTTTCTAGTTATTCCAAGCCCAACTCAAAGTGCTGGTTATTATTTATAAAGACATTGATAGTAGAGTTACAAGCTACATCAAATATTACTTTCTGCCACATTATTCTGATTCTCATATTGGGTCATCTACAAGGGGCGTGTTCAAGGTTTCATCATCTTGGGAGAAAGGGGTAATTAGATGAGAAGGCAGCCTTTCTTTGTGGCCAATCCTCATGCTTTGGTATTTATTTCCAGTACTGACATTGTACAACACTGTGAAAACAATTTTTCCATGTAGACACTTGAAGCTTAACAGTGACTAGGTTTGCTACTGTTTCTTCCTTTATGTATTTTATGTTTTAGGAGGAATAAAATGTGATGAGCATAGTTATGATGTTTCATTAAGCAGGCTTTTTTAGTTTTGTACTCTGACTCTTAAATTTTGTGATATCAGTTAAATGTTTGAAAGAATTAACTGCCAACCTTATTATAATGAAAGTGTAGGATGACAGAGGGGATACTTATAGACATGACTAGGTTTGCTTCAATATCATTCCATATTGATTTAAAATCCATAAATTTGTTCATATGGTGGGAAAAGAGTAATGCTTAAAGATATGAACGTGATTCTGAATTATGTACCAAACATGCAGAATCTATCAATGTTTTGAAAACTATGGAACTACAGAATGAAGCATATTAAAATATTAATCATTTATCATGGAAAGGCAATGCCATTCTAGATTGATAGATTCTAGATTAACTATTTACAAATTGTTTTCCTTTCAATGCAATGGAAAGACTGATCAATAGTACTCTGTATGGCAAAATGGGTTTCCTTTTCACTGTATTTTTTGTTTTTCTAAATATTTTTCTTTATTTTTAAACATTAAAGCAAATAAATAGAACAAAACAAGCAGATCTTGGAATTCCAAGTATCTTAATTCTGTCAGTCTGTAGTCAAATTAGAGCAGGGAATTTCACTGGCTAAAAAGATTTGATTACATTTAACCTTGACCAAGTATTGTCAAATAATTTGTAGACATTTATAAAGCATTACCTTGAGTGCAAAACATCTACAGCTAGAAAAATTCTTATTGCCAAAAAGTATATTGAGTACTACCATGAGAATAGGCAGTACTTTTTAAAAAAATGGTTATTAATTTAAAATATATTTTCACTACTCGAATTTTCTTTCCTTTTCCTGGGTCATGAATGCATATTATTACCATCCAAATTTATCCTTGAAAAATGTGTCCCAATGAGTTCCCTGGCTGCATGAGGATTTGAACTCAACCTCGCAAATCTCAACTGGTGTTTCCCCTATACTGGCTTTTCCAGGCATGTTTGACTACCTGGCACCATCTCCAGACTTTGACTATGTTGCAAGGAGTTGTACTTTATGCTAGCTTCCAGACTGAAGAAGACTGCTAGATGCATGTTTTTTCTTCCTATTGCTTTTGCAGCCTATTATGAAAGGTAGCCACTTTTATAGTTATGCTTATTTGGACCTATTATTCTTCCTACGAGCACGCATCCCTTCGCTTCTTCCCTTGCTGGAACCATAATAATTAGTGCTAGGAAATCATTTTCAAAGGGATGGGAGCCATCTACTGTGGGAAATTTCGTAGGATGTCAATAACTGAAATATTGAATATAGTATACGTGTTCCTGGATAATCTGCATTATCAGACATGAATAGATTAAAAAGCGAAGCCAGAAATAGCACAATTATCATTTTTAGGATGTTTTACAATAGGTCAATCTGTCTTGTCTAATGACAATATTTAACCTGTCAATTGATCTACACCTTACCTCAAAGTCTATTTGGATTAACAAATTGGCCTGTTCAACAATGATTCCAATAATTTTTCTATTTTATTTATTTGACTTTTATAGCTGCCCATCTCAACAAGTATTTGAGCCCAATATATTGAAGGGTTTGCCTTATAACACATAAAACAGACCATACACTTCCACAACTTGAACAGAATAAATTTTTTTGAGTAACTGCTCTGAAGAGATTTTCTGGCAGCATCCTTCAACATACTGCATATACATAGTTTGGAATCTCAGTGCAGGTCTAAAAATGTTACAGTACCTCGTCTCCTGTCCACATCAGTCCATTCATCTACACGAAGCATAAAACAGAAAAAATGGCGGGTCAAGTACTAAGAACACACTGAGAACAACGTGGAAAAGAGAAAAGAATTGAAGAGGGATGTACATTTTTTTACTCTTCCACTTAATACGATGATGCACAGCAGAAGAAAAGCTATTGAGGATATTTAAAGTGGCAGTGATAGAGGTGTTATGAAATGGGATTGTATCACTTTTCAAGCCCATTTCACACTCTGGAGAAGAATTGCATTTTCCCGGCATTAAAAATTCTTGAAAATGAAGGAACAGCTCAGCAGCAGCTCAACTTTTATGGTGTCCTACACAAACAAACAAAAATATTCACAGAGAACCAAGGTAGGCTGAGACATCCTCAGAGCCACATGGATGGGCTCTCGTTTTAGAGCGATTCCATGTTTCTCAACAAGAAGAAACTGCAGAAGAGGATTGTTTGATTTCACCCGAAGAGGTAGAAAAATGAAGCACAACCTGGCCACACAACCAAACATTACTATTTTGTTATTTTTCAGTCTCTCCATTTCTCATAGTTTTGTTTTCAGAACACATAGAAAGGTAAAGAAACAAGAGTTTGCCCAGCAGTAAATAAACAAAGCTAAACTAAACTCAGGTGTTTTTGGATCCAGAGGTCCTTAATGGTTGGAAATTAATCAAAGAGAGAAGCAACCTGGAATTAAGGAGAAACAGTGGAACAGCTCGCCTTCAGAAATCATGGGTACTCCATCACTGGAGGCTGTTTAGAGGAGTCTAGACCAGAAGTCTTCAAACTTGGCAGCTTTAAGACTTGTGGACTTCAACTTCCAGAATTCTCTTGCCAGCATAGCTGGCTGGAGAATTCTGGGAGTTGAAGTCCATAGGTCTTAAAGTCCGCAAGTCTTAAAGCTGCCAAGTTTGAAGATCTCTGGTCTAGACAGTCACTTATCTAAAATGGTATATAGGTTCTCCTGCTTGAGTAGGAGGCTGGACTACCTCCAAGGTCCCTTCCAGCTCTATTCTATTCTAAATTTGAACCGTGTGTGTGTGTGTGTGTGTGTGTATGTGTGTGTGTGAAGGTCTTCCTACTGGACACATTCATTCACATGTGAGCTGATTTATTCTCATCTTGGTGTTTGGTTTCTCCAGTTCACTTCCACACCCCATTCATTGCTCAGCTGTTCTTCATGAGAGAAGAAGGGGCTCTTTTCCAAAAGCCCAGGAAGCAGGAGCCTCTGGAGGGGGGTGGGGGGGAGCCTGGAGCCTCCAGAGGCAAGAGGAGCTTGCAGAGGACAGACAAGCCCCTCGGCCTCTCTGCTTTCCCCCCTCTGGCCCGATTCCAACGGGGTCCAGGAACAAAGGTCGACCACAGCTCCCTCTAACACAGGGGTGGGCAACTCCCTTTTACAACCTGTGGACTTCAACTCCCAGAATTCCTGAGCCAGCTTGGCTGTAACAGGAATTCTGGGAGTTGAAGTCCACAGGTTGTAAAAGGGCCACAGTTGCCCACCCCTGCTCTAACAGGTTTCATCACCAAGAAGGAATATGGCCTATTCCCACTTTCGCTGCACACTTTATTATTGCAGACAAATCGTGACTGGATGGACGCCAGCAAAAGTTTTGCCCTGGGGATCAACCGGGGGGACGGGGGGGGGAACAGAAGCGACCCGGCCTTCCTCCCCAGGCGCCGCGGCTGGTCGACTGTGAAAGGGGGGGGTTTGAGGCGACGAGGCCTGCACTCCCGGGGGCCCCGACTCCCCCTCCCGGCGGCCCCCCTGACCTTGGCGCGCCTTGTCTCCCGGGATGCTCTGCGCGCGCAGCCGCTGGTCCACGATGTACAGCATCTCCCCGCCCAGGTTGAGGACGAGCAGCGGCAGCGTCCGCAACGACATGGCGGGCAGGCAGAAAGAAAACCCCGAGGGGGCGAGAGGGGCGCCGCGTCGTCGCCAAGGCAACGGGAGACGGCTTCCGGTCGAGGGAGGCAGGACTTCCGGGCGCGTTCTGGCGAGCGCGTGCCTGAGGGACAAACGAGAAGGGGGGAGGAGTTAGCGAAGGCCAATCGGGTAAAAAGGGGGTGGAGCCCATTTCCTCCCCGCCCCCCCTCAGCTCCCACGCGGGGATGGTGGCGGGTCCCTTGAGCTGCCGTGGATTTCCCCTCGCGGCCTCTCATTTCAGTCCCACGCACGCCCCGCTCAGCCACCTGCCACAATGACTTCTAGCCATGGGCTGCTGCTCCAGTCTTTGTATTACAGAGAGTCTTTGATTTACAGCCATTCGCTTAGTGACCATCCGAAGGGGCAACGGGAAAAAGCGACATGCTCGTTTTTCACACTTAAGGCGTTGCAGCGGTCACGTGATCAAAATTTGGACGCTGGGCAGCTGACTCCTACTTGAAAGAAGAAGAATACAGGTACTTCTCAATTTATGACCACCATTGAGCCCAACATATTGCTAAGTGAAAAATTCGTTAAGTGGGTTTTGCCCCATTTTATGATTTTTATTGCCGCATTTGTTAAAGGAATCACTGCAATTCATAAATTAGCAACATAGTTGTTAAGTGAATCTGGTTTCCCCATTGACTTTGCTTGTCAGAAGGTCGTAAAAAGGGATCACATGATCCCAGGACGCTGCAACAGTCATAAATGTGAGTCAAGTTGCCAAACATCTGAATCTAAATTGTGTGACCCTAGGGATGCTGAAATGGTCATAATTGTGAAAAATGATCATAACTCACTTTTTTCAGTCCATTGTAACTTCAAACGGTCATTATAATAAAGTTGAGGACTATCTGTAACAGAGTTGGAAGGGACCGTGGAGATGTTCTAGTTCCAGCCGCCTGCTAAAAGCAGGAAATCCTATAACATTCCAGACAAATGGTTGTCCAATCTCTTGTGTTGGAGCACCCACAACTACTGGAGGCAAGTTGTTCCATTGGTTTATTGTTCTGACTGTTCTGTCCAGAAATTTCTTCTTAGTTCTCTCCTTGATTGGTTTCCACTCGTTGCTCCTTGTCCTGCCTTCAGGTGCTTTGCAGAATAGGTTGACTCCCTCTTTGTGGCAAGCCCTGAGATATTGGAAGACTGCTATCATGTCGCCCCCCCAATTCTTCTTTTCATCATTCTAGACATAGCCAATTCCAGCAACTGTTCTTTTATATGTTTAGCCTTCAGCCCCCTAATCATCTTTGTTGCTGTTCTCTGCAATTTTTCTAAAGTCCAACATCTGTTTTTATATCATGGCGATCAAAACTGGATACAATATTCCAAGTGTGGTCTTACCAGGGCATTATAAAGTGATATTATCAATTCCCCTGATCTTGATTCTGTCCCTCTATGAATGCAGCGATGTAGGGTTTTAAAGGTGACAACCAGCACCTTGAATTGGACCCGGAAGCAAATTGGCAGCCAATGCAGCTCCTGCAGGAGAGGTACCTGGACCTGCACAAAACCACGTGGGCTGCAGCAATCTGGACCAGTTGGAGCCTCTGGATACTTTTCAAGGGCAGCTCCATGTAGAGTGCATTACGATAGTCAAGATGGGAGGTACCTAGAACAGAAGTGGGCAACTATGGCCCTTTTATGACTTGTGGACTTCAATTCCCAGAATTCCTGAGCTAACATGGCTGGCTCAGGAATTCTGGGAGTTGAAGTCCACAAGTCATAAAAGGGCCATAGTTGCCCACCCCTGACCTAGAGTGTTAAAGGAACATTAAAGCTGTTCCCAATAAAACATTCCTCCTTAAACCTCCATTCTCCTGATGAATTCTAAAAAATCAAGATTTTGGAGTCCCAATACACCTGGTCTTGGTTGGGGAAGACTGCACTAAATCCTTGCAATAAAAGCAAACACAAAAGTTGATAACACAACTTTATATCAACACAGCTTTATCTCAACATAATCATTTCTCCTTTTTCAATATGCCATGCTGCCTGACTGTCTGGAAGGTTTACTAATTGATGCCATGCAAGGATTAATGGTGCCTGTCTGATTTTGGTTCTTCCTCATAAGCACAGAGTGGCTGATCTTGCTGGATTTTGTGTAGGACCTACCAGGATTGTGATGGGCAGGTGGTTCACAAAAAGAGGTGGCAAAACTTGTTCCTGGGAAAAACATACAGGAGAACCAAAGTTGTAGGTAGCAGGAAAGCTGGAAGGAGTGGAACCCTGGAAGAAGAGAGCACCTCTCGACCTTCTGACAGGCAAACTCAACAGAGAAGCCAGATTCATTTTATAAACATGTTACTAACTTAACTGCAGTGATTCACTTAACAGCTGTGGCAGGAAAGGTCGTAAAATGGGACATAACTCATTTAACAACTGTCTCACTTAGACAGTTAGCACTCACTTAGCAACAGAAATTTTGGGCTCAATTGTGGTCATAACTCAAGGACTACCTGTACGTTTGAGGAAAAACAACTCCACTTTCCCGGTTACCTTCAGGAAAGGTAGCTTGAGCCTGCCTCCCCCCTTTTGCAGAGCCTGGTTTCCCAGCTGAAAACATTGCTGGAGTGGAGTGCCTGAAAGTGACCCCCCCACTTCATGATGGCACCTTCTGATCCTGACCCACCTTTGTTCTTTAAGAGCGAGAGCGAGTGTGCACTTCCCGAGCCATTCTGCAAATCTCACACCAGCCACAGAGGCACATCGACAGCGCATCCCTCAAAACAGTGCCCTGGCAAATGGATAAAATTTATTGTGTTAATTCATGGGTGGCCAGGCAGAGAAATTTACCAAGAGACATTATAATTTACTTTACAACAAGGAGACTAAGAAATATGATATTGCAGGCTTCTTACAAAAATAAACTTCAAGTGGCAGGGCAGGAAGTTTTAACATTAAAAGAAATCCCTCCCAAAATGTTGAGAGCAAGGAAGGACTATGCTTTTGTGGTGGATGAACTTAGAAAACGTCAGATACAGTATAGATGGGAGATTCCAACTGGATTGGTGGTGGATTATTCAGGACAGAGATTCCGTCTTAATACATTATGGAAGGCAAGGGATTTTTACTTTAATGTATTAAAGGCTGGAGGTTCTTCTTCTCCAGAAATCAGAGGAAGAAAGGAAATAGAGGAAGCAAGAATGGGAGTGAAAGAAATTACCCAGGCTCAGGCAGAGGCTCAAGGAGGGGCTTTGATTGTTGAAGAAGATTTATTACAACTTACAAGCTCTGCCCAAGATATGGAGTTATTTGGTAAAACAGAGGAGCCGAGGGATCAAAGACAGACTCGAGCAGCAAAGAAACGCCAAGAGGAATTAAAGGTGCAGCAAGCCCAGATGAAAGCACAAGAAACTACAAAATCAGAAGCAGTGGGAGGGGCAAGGCCGAAGATCAAAGTGACCTTCAGCTAATGCTTGAAAAGCTTAAAATTGCCAAAAATGGCAAGTAAATTTTTAACTTGGAATGTCAATGGATTAAATTCACCGCAAAAGAGGAGGAAAATATTTCATTATCTGAAGCAGTATAAAAATGACATTATATGCCTACAAGAAACACATATTAGAATGCAAGATCAAAAATATTTAATAAATGCAAGATTGGGGACACATTTTATAGCATCTGCACCGGAAAAGAAAAATGGTATAGTTATATACCTGAAAAAAGGTTTAATAGCTAAATTAATTGAAGCAGATCCACAAGGAAGATATATTGCAATTGAAATCTTAATAGAAGGGAAAAAACCATTATTGATTGGAATATATGCACCAAATCAGCAACAAGAAAGTTTTTATAAGACTTTACATCTAAATTAATACAGTGGAATTATAAAACACATATAATGATGGGAGATTGGAATGGAGTTTTGGATATTATAAAGGACAAAAAAGGATCTCTACAAAATATTCAAACACGTGCTAGATTGCCTAAATCTTTTTTTGATATGATGGAGGATATGGAGCTGAGAGATATTTGGCGTGAGAGGAACGGAGAAGAGAAAGATTTTACCTTTTTTTCTGATAGACATCAGTCATTTTCCAGGATTGATTTTATATTAATTTCTAATGAATTTTTTTCTAGGGTGAAGAAAACGAAAATATGTCCAAGAACATTAACAGATCATAGTCCGGTTTGGATGGAATTAGAATATGAAAAGGCACCCAGGAAGTCCTGGAGGCTGAATGAAAATTTGTTTAGATATGAGGAAAATGTGAAAGAACGTAAACAATTTATGAAAGAATTTTTTGTTATGAATTTGCATAAAGGTACACCTATGGAGACGGTTTGGGATGCAAGTAAAGCATATATGAGAGATATTTTAATTTATTTGAATAATAAATATAGACGTAAACAGGAAAGGAAACAGAAGGAGTTAGAAGAAGAAATAAAAAATAAAGAGCAAGTATTAATTTTAAACCCAATTGACAAGAAAACAAAAGAAGCAATTAATTTATTGCGAGGACAATTTAATATGTTGACGGCAGACCAGGTAGCAACTAATTTGCAATATGCCAAACATAACTCTTTTTGTAATGCGAATAAACCAGGCAGATGGTTGGCATATTTGCTTAGGAAAAAACAAAAGCTACGTACTATAGAGAAAATAGAATATAAGGGTAAAGAGGTGTATCAGCAAAATATGATTAAAAAAGCATTTTCAGAATTCTATATGAAGTTGTATACTAGTGATAAGATTCAAGGTATAGATATAGATAAATATTTACAGAGGGGGAATATCTCTATAATTTCAGAAGAACAAAGGGAAGGTTTGAATCAATTGATAACTGTTGAGGAAATTATTTTAGCAATTAAACAATTGAAGGTGGGAAAAGTCCCTGGGACGGATGGGTTGACAGCGGTTTATTATAAAAATTTGCAAGCAGAAATGGTGGAACCAATTTTTTTTTTTTATTTGATTTATATGCCGCCCTTCTCCGGAGACTCAGGGCGGCTTACAAGGCGCTAAGCAATAGCCTTCATTCTTTTGTATATTTATACAAAGTCAGCTTATTGCCCCCACAACTGGGTCCTCAATTTACCTACCTTAGAAAGGATGGAAGGCTGAGTCAACCTTGAGCCTTGGCGAGATTAGAACCTGCAGTAATTGCAGGCAGCTGTTCTTAATAACAGGGTTCTTTAGACCACTGTACTACCAAGGCACTTAAAGAATTATTTAATAAAATACAAACTGGAGGACAAGTGCCTCCTTGGAGAACAGCATTTATTTCCCTGATCCCAAAGGAAGACCAAGATCATACTCAGCCAAAAAACTATAGGCCTATATCATTGTTAAATACAGATTACAAGATCTTTACTAAAATATGGGCAAATAGGTTGATGCCAGTTATGCAACAAATGATTCACAATGACCAAACTGGTTTCATTAATAGGCGATATATGAAGAGTAATGTAAGACAAATAGTAAATATATTGGAGTATTTGGGAAAAAACAACCAAGTCCTTGCGGTGCTTATATTTTTAGATGCGGAAAAAGCGTTTGATCGACTGAACTGGAATTTTTTATTGAAAATAATTGAAAAGATGCAATTTGGAGAGTATTTTATACAATCTATTAAGGCAATATATCAGCAACAAATGGCACAAGTAATAATTAATGGTAGTTTAACGGAAACTTTTAATATAGAAAAGGGAACAAGACAAGGATGTCCTTTATCTCCATTATTGTTTATTTTGACTCTGGAATTTTTGTTGAAAAAAATACGTGGTTCAGATAAAATAAGGGGAATTAAAATTAGGAATGAGGATTACAAGGTATGAGCATTCGCAGATGACCTGGTTGTGACTTTGACCCAACCAATAAATTCGGTTATATGTTTAATGGATATAATTAATCAATATGGACAAGTCTCTGGATTTAAAATTAATGCAGGGAAAACGAAGATAATAATTAAAAATATGGTTACAAGTCAAAAAGAAGAAATTGAAAGAATAACAGGATTTGAATCAGTTAAGAAGGTTAAGTATTTAGGGGTTTATATTACAACATCAAATGCAAAACTATGTAAGTGTAATTATGAACTATTGTGGCAAAAAATCCAGAAAGAGATGGAAAGTTGGAAAAAATTGCAATTATCACTGCTGGGAACAATAGCTGCAGTAAAGATGAATATTTTGCCAAAGTTCTTATTTCTTTTTCAAATGATACCAATACTGAAAAAAGATGGACATTTCAACAAATGGCAGAAGGGTATTACTAATTTTGTGTGGGCAGGAAAGAGACCAAGGATAAAATGAAAAATAATGCAAGATATACGTGAAAGAGGAGGTCTCAAAATGTCTAATTTAAGATTGTATTACGAGGCAGCTGTGCTCTCAGCAATTAGTGATTGGATTAATTTAACAGAAGAGAGAATATTGAATATTGAAGGGTATGATTTGTTATATGGATGGCATGCATATTTACTATATGATAAAAAGGATAAGAATTTTAAAAGTCATATATTAAGAAATGCATTATTACGTGTATAGAAAAAGTATCAATATAAATTAAATAATAAATTACCTGTTTGGACAATACCTAGACATATGATGGAGAATATAAGTGTGGAGCAGAAACAAGATGTGATTACTTATAAAGAGCTTATTTTGGAAAGAGGTATATTGCAATTAAAGTCTTTAGAGGTATTAAAGGAAGAAAGGAAAATTCAAACCTGGTTTCAGTATGGGCAGTTGTATACTAGGTAGAAAGAAGATCAGAAAATTGGCATTTTGCAAAATGAAGAAAACTTAATAAAACAAATCAGGGATCAAAGTCCAATGCATATTAAAAGGTTGTATAATGCATTGATAGAAATAGATTCAGAAACTGAGTTAGTGAAGGATTGTATGATAAAATGGGCACAAAACTTTGGGGAATCAATATCTATGGATGTATGGGAGAAAATATGGGTTTGAAATGTGAAGTTTACTCAAGCCCAAAATCTAAGAGAAAATTTCTACAAAATGTTTTATAGATGGCATTTAGATCCCCAAAAGTTAGCCTGTATGTACCTGAGTTTACAATTTACATGTTGGAGATGTAAATGTGATGATGCAACGTATTTTCATGTATGGTGGACATGTAAGAAAATTAAGGCATTTTGGATTAAGATATGGTGGATTATACAAAATATTCTTAAAAGGAAGATAAAATTTACTCCACAGTTGTTTTTATTGGGTATAATTGAAGGATGTACAGTTATAGAGACTAATCTGATTTTGAATCTAATAACTGCAGCCAGACTTTTGGTGGCGCGATATTGGAAGAAGGAAGAAATACCTACTATTGAAGAATGGACATTAAAAGTAGCTAATTTGGCGGAGATGGCTAAAATCTCTGCATATTTGAAGGATCGTTCGAATGAAAGATATGTACTGGAATGGAGAAGATGGATTGACTATATACAAAACAAATATGGGACTAAAAAGTTGCAAATAGCTTATGAATGAAATATTTAGATGATTTTTCTTTTTACTTTGACATTTTAGTACCTATGGCGGAGTTAAAGAGTAAGGGGAAGTTAAGAGTTTATAGTTAGTTTGCTTATGTTAGATTATGTTTGTTAAATGCAATACCCTGTATTTTGCTCTGGGAAGTCGGGGGGGGGGGGAGGGGGGAAATTTGTTTGTAAAACATTTTAAAACTTTTCAATTAAAAAAAAAAAAACAGTGCCCTGCAATGTTCAAGCCAAGGAGTGTGTGTCAGGTTTGCACACTTGGGCCTTGTGCCCTCACACACCAGAAGCTGCATGAGTCAGCCTGATGCTGCCTGTGCAGTTTCCGTAGGAGATGAGACGGGAAATCCCCTCTCAGCCCCTCAAGATGATGAAAAATGTCAGGTGTGTTTATTAACGTCTCTATTCTTCTTGTCCATCCCAAAAAGTTGAAGAGGCATTTTGTTCTCACAGACATCTAAAGCTCATGGCGATCTCTTCACAGGCAGGCTGGTGATTTGAAGTAGGTTGGCAAAGATTCCTGATCTGTGCAGTGAGCATTTATGCAGATGGTTGGGTAGGGTTGAGCTTTAGGGTAGGGTTTAGTGACCATGGTTTAGACTAGACAGCAGTTTTCCTGATGTTTCGCCAGAAATCATGGCCGGCACCTTCAAAGGCCAAGGTGGGCTGCTGGGCTATGCAGACCACAGGCATCAGAGCAGAGACTGACCAGGCCCATTTATGCAGACCACCTACTACACATAAGAATTAAATTTAGTGGCTAAAGTTACTGTTGGAAGATCCAGCATAAATTTAGCCCTGTTTCCCCTACAGCCCTGCTTAGAATACCTGAAGAAGAATCACAGATGGTCCATTAACTACTTTTTACAGTTGGAGACAGAAGAAGAAATTTGGGAAGGCTTGATTTCACATATTTCAGCAGTAGTAGTAATTTTCACTTTAGAATGAGGATGATAGAACTATACAACATAGTAAGGTATGATTTTAGAAAACGGCACTTTTAAGGAATTAGTTATTACTTCTTCCCTTATGTGTGCTAGAACAGAAAGAAAAGGCATTTAATCCCCACTATTTTGGAGCAATGCAAAATATTTGTAGCTTCAACTACTTGTAGCCTTTGAAAAAAAAATGGTCACCAGGTGCTGAATAAATATGCTACAAATGCACTAATTGAAGATCAGCTAAATATTGGATTTCTCTTCCTATTCTTTACAATAGATCTTGGAACTGTTTAGTAAAATTAGCATTAAAAAAGGGCAAGTAGCAATAGAAAAGATCAGTATTGTCCTCCATGCATGACCACTTAGATGTGAAGCTGCAGTATTTGCTTGTTTCACCATATCATGTCTCTAATAGGGCACAATATTTCATAATGCCAAGGCTGTATGGATTGCCTGGATGAGACAAAGCATGCACGGTGTCCTTTATTAAAAATGCAGTGACCCATAGTGTTACAAAGTTGAGATAAATTATTTCTGCTTTCTTTTGCAATAGAAACAAATTAATTCCAGGATTCAAGCAAACTGCAGTTTGTGCTCAGTTCTGATAGCAGGGGTATTTTGTAATTTATTTCACTGACAAGTTGCCTCATACAATTCTTGTGAAACTCCAGTAACTGTCTTGTCAACAAGACTGGCTGAATTCACCCACTGCACTAAAACTGCAAGCTTGTAATTACAAATATGGTTTAAAGCAGTGGTGAAATTCAAATTTTTTTACTACCGGTTCTGTGAGCGTGGCTTGGTGGCCGTGGGTTGGCTAGGTGGGCATGCTTGGTGGGCATGGCAGGGGAAGGATACTGCAAAATCTCCATTCCCACCCCACTTCTGGGGGAAGAATACTGCAAAATCCCCATTCCCTCCCCACTGTGGGGCCAGCCAGATTTGCAGGTTCTCTGAACTACTCAAAATTTCCGCTACCGGTTATCCAGAACCTGTCAGAACCTGCTGAATTTCACCCCTGGTTTAAAGGAGGTGGAGAAACATACCACTGTATGCCGTGCTGTCCTTTCCCTCAAAACTGGAAGTGTTCAGGGTAGACACGAAGGTGAACAAAGTCGCATTACAAGGAATACCATAATTGTAATATAAAATAATAAAGGCAGGACAATAAATTCATTCACATTAAATGAAAATAAATTTCATTTTGTATCTACCACAGGCATTTTAGCAGTTTCAGAGATGAAATCAAGGGGCAATCAAGACAAGCTACTACTCTGCAGCAAAGTGCTTGGTGTAAGAACAAGGGCTGCAATAAACTTTGACAAACTTTTTTTTAAAATATAAATTTCATCTCCCCCACCCCTCCCAGCATCTGCTGTTCTACTTCTCAGAGAAAGATCACCTCCTAGGTGAAATCTTAGCACGTTACCGGGATTCCATAGGAGAGCCGCATGTGTGTTCGGAGTGCAGTCATGCCACCAGGCACCATTCCCAAGCAACAATGTTCTCCATATTTGCGTGCCACGTAGCAGCTCAGAATCATTGGGCAGCAAATTCCAACGCAACCTGCCAAGCAACATAAACACGCATATGCAAGCGAAGATCAATAGAAGTAGGTAGAAAAATGCTGTCCTCCGTAGTCCAGACTTGTAATCATTGCCACTATGTCTCCACTTAGCCAATCCTTTGTGGGTACGAGAGTGAGCGGTGACTGTTCTGTGACAAACCATGATCACCAGTGACCCTGACAGCTGAGAAGCAGACATTTTCTAAGTGTTCCCAGACTTAAGGAGTGGAGGTTGTCATATCCCTGTGATGGTGAACCTATGGCACGCGTGCCACAGATGGCACGTGTATCCATATCGGTGGGCACGCGAGCTCAGGTCCAGTGCGTATGCGCGCGCTGGCCAGCTGATTTTTGGGCCTTCTGGGCCCACCGGAAGTAGGGAAACAGGGCCTCTGGGGGTGGGAGTGGGGAAGGCCGTTTGCAACCTCCCCAGGCTCCTAGAAAGCCTCTGGAGCCTGGGAAGAGAGAAAAACGGGCCTACCGGGCTCACCATGCCATTGCGTGGGGGGAGTGCAGGGGGGGGTCACATGCACATGGGCTGGGTGCATAAAATTATGGGTGTGGGCACGCACACGTGCAACCCCCCCCTGCAGTCCCCCTGCTCCTGGCACGCGATGGCAAAAAGATTAGCCATCGCTGTCATATCCTGTTCCTTTTTGCTCCCTCAGACAAAAAGAAATCACAATACAATAAAGACGGTATTGGATTAGATGATGGTAAAATTGGGGGACAGTTTTTGCACCCTTTTTACATACCTCTATGTAGCTCTGGGGGGTAAAAGTCCTGTTTTGGCAGTGCTGCCCTAGAACAGGGATCTCCAAACTTGGCAACTTTAAGACTTGTGGACTTGTGTACATTCTGGAGAGAGAGAAGTTCCCTGAGGATGGGCTCCAGCATGAGCCCAAAAACTCGGAAGAATAAAACTTTGATCCTGATGACCAACTCAGATTGGGTCCTGTAACATTATCCTGGGATATTCCCAAAATACTTTTAAGACAAGGTGGTTAACTTTCAACGTAATAAAGTTGGCAGTTAATCTCTGAAAACATTCAGCTGTCCAAAGCAAGAAAGAGAATTGAGCTGGTGTCTTGACATTTAAAATTAAAATATTGTTTAAAGTTTGCTACTAGCTGAAAAATTTACCCAACGCCTAACAAAGTCCTGACCTCAAAAGCCAGATTCCTACACAATTTCTTCTATTTCCAAGAAACCTTAGAGAGAATCCTTCTATAGCTGCAGTTGTTGACATAACAGCATAACCTCAGTCACAAATGAAGACAAAATGAATGATGGCCAGAAACACCTTCTTCTTTAAGAGCAAACCCCATTCCTTAACTAGTACTGATGTTTAGTACAGATCTGCATAGAAACAACCAAGCTCAGAGAACACCAAGGACTTCTCCCACTTTCTTCTCCATTGATATCCTCCAATTAGAAGTTTTGCTTCCTTAACCATCTTGGCCATACTGGCTGAGCAGGATGGGATTTAGTATCAACCTATGTAGAAAGCACCAGGTTGGGAAGTCCACTTAAACTGGAAATAAACCAGAAACCCAGTCTTATTTCAGGAAGAACTAGTTCACAAAGAGTCTCATTCCTCCCTCCTCAGCTGGCTACTCTCCACAGGTATTAGAGGCAGAGATCTACTTACACATGGGACAATCCGAACAGCAGTCATATCTCCCACGGGCCCAGCTGCCTTCTGAGGACTGGGTTACTGGGGAGACAGTCGGCTGGCAAATCACTAACTGGGACATTGGCAAAGATTGGTCTCCTGGGCAGCACAAAATTGCTTCCAAAGAGACATTGGGAGTCTTTTGCAACTGGGCAAGCAGGATGGTATAAACTCTTCTTTGTGATACCCCTACAGGCTGGGTGAAATGCCAGAGGAAGCAGCAAGAAGTGGGTGGAATAATGCAAAGTCTTGTGAAACAAATAGCTTTCTAAACAGCAGATGGAGCAAATAAAAAAACTGTCCTAGAACAGCTTTTGCCTGGTATTTACAGTCAGAATATTTATTTATTTATTTATTTATTTATTTATTTATTTATTTATTTATTTATTGAATTTCTATACCGCCCTTCTCCCGAAGGACTCAGGGCAGTGAACAGAGTAAGATTTCATATACATATAATAAATTTATTTTTTATTTTTTATTTTTTTTATAAACAGTAAATAATAAATTGAGTCAACTTAGTGTATCTGCTAAGACCTTGGCATAGAAATTAGATGTTTATGCTAGCCCTGCTTGTTGAAACAGAAAGGTCTTCAGGGCACATCAGAAAGTGCAAAGATCTGGGATTATTCGTATTCCAGGGGGTATTTTGTTCCAAAGAGTAGGTGCCCCCACAGAGAAGGCTCTCTCCCTTGGAACTACTAGACGACATTGTTTTAATGATGGTACTATGAGTAGGCCTATTCTGTGAGAGCATATTGGTTGGCGGGAGGTTATCGGTTGCAGCAGGTGATCTCATAAGTACTCAGGTCCTAAGCCATGGAGCACTTTAAAGGTAAGAACCAACATCTTGAAGCGCACTCGGAAGGCCACCGGAAGCCAGTGCAGCTCACGTAGAAGAGGTGTTACATGTGAGCGCCATGTTGCTCCCATAATTACTTGCGCGGCCGCATTCTGGACCGGTTGGAGCTTCCGGGTGCACTTCAAGGGGAGCCCCACGTAGAGAGCATTGCAGTAGTCAAGTCGGGAAATGACGAGGGCTTGAGTGACTGTGTGTAATGAGTCCCGGTCTAGAAAGGGACGCAATTGGCGAATCAGGCAAACCTGATAGAAAGCTCCTCTGGCCACGGCTGTTATATGATCTTCTAAAGACAGTCGTGCATCCAGGAGGATGCCTAAATTGCGAGCTTTCTCTGCGCGGGTCAATGACTCATCCCCAATAGTTAGTGATGGGACTAACTGGCTGTACCGGGACGCCGGTAGCCACAGCCACTCAGTCTTGGAAGGGTTGAGTTGAAGCCTGTTTCTCCCCATCCAGACTCGCACGACCTCAAGGCACCGGGACATCACTTCAAGGGCATCATTGGGATGGTTTGTGGTGGAGATGTACAGCTAGTGTCATCAGCGTAGAGATGACATTGCACCCCAAAACCACGGATGATCTCCCCCAATGGCTTCACATAAATGTTGAACAGGAGAGGCAAGAGGACCGACCCCGCAAGTAAGGGGCCTCGAGGTCAATCTCTGTCCACCTGTCAACACTGACTGCGACCTGTCAGAGAGGTAGGACGAGAACCACCGTAATACGGTGCCTCCCACTCCCAGCCCCTCCAACTGGTGCAGCATGATACCATGATCAACGGTATCAAAAGCCGCTGAGAGATCTAATAGGACCAGGATAGAGGAACATCCCTTATCCCGAGCCGTCCAGAGATCATCAACCAACACAACCAATGCTGTTTCTGTCCTGTATCCAGGCCTGAAGCCGGACTGGAACGAGTCTAGATAGACAGCTTCATCCAGGTACTGTGGGAGCGAAGGTTGGAGACTGGACGGTAGTTTGCTAAAACAGCCAGATCCAGAGAGGGCTTCTTAAGGAGGGGTCTCACCACCACCTCTTTCAAGGCGGGAGGTAAGAATCCCTCACTCAGAGAAGCGTTAATAATTCTCTGGAGCCAGCTACGTGTAACCTCCCAGGTAGCCAGCACTAGCCAGGAAGGGCACGGGTCCAATAAACATGTGGTCGCATTCAGCTTCCCCAGTAACCTGTCCACGTCCTCAGGAGTCACAGTATCAAACTCATCCCAGATAATGTCCTCAAGATCTGCCCTCGTCATTTCATCCGAATTAACCCAGTTAAGAGTCCAAGCCTTCCCGAATCTGAGCGATTTTATTGTGCAGATATTGTGCAAAATCCTCAACTCGTCCTTGCAGAGGGTCTTCCCGGGCTCTCACCTGGAGTAGAGAGCGGGTAACCCTAAACAAGGCGGCTGGGTGATTATCTGCCAATGCAATAAGAGAGGAAAATTAGTTACATTTTGCCGCTTTTATCGCCACTAAGTAGGTCTTAATATAAGATCTCACTAGTGTTCGGTCGGATTCGGAACGGCTGGTCCTCCAACTGCTCTCTAGGCGTCTTTTCCGATGTTTCATCCCCCTCAGCTCATCAGAGAACCAAGGAGCTGGGTAGGTTCGATGCCGGGTCAGAGGCCGCAAAGGCATGACCCGGTCTAAAGCACCAGCAGCCATCCTATCCCAGGATGCCACTAGGTCTTCAGCCGAGTCATGAGCCAAGGTCTCAGGAAATGGCCCAAGGTCCATCCGGAACCTATCAGGATCCATCAGGCGCCTGGGGCGGAACCATTTGATTCCGCCTCCCTGCGGTGGGTTGTAGTGGTCAGAAGGTCAAGCTTAAGGAGAGAATGGTCTGACCATGACTAGGGTTTAAGGTACTAGGTACTAGGGTTTAAGGCACCCTGTTATTAAGCTGCTTAAGACCAGCTGCCTGCAATTACTGCAGGGTTCGAATCTCGCCAAGGCTCAAGGTTGACTCAGCCTTCCATCCTTTCTAAGGTAGGTGAAATGAGGACCCAGTTTGTGGGGGCAATAAGCTGACTTTGTATAAATATACAAAAGGATGAAGGCTATTGCTGAGCACATTGTAAGCCGCCCTGAGTCTTCGGAGAAGGGCGGCATATAAATCAAATTTAAAAAAAAAAAAAAAAAAAAAATGACAAGGGTTCGATGACTATATCCCCTATATCTAGACCATTCAGCCATTGGTCAGAGATAAAGATCAAATCCAGAGTATGTCCCCCCGTGTGAGTAGGGCCATGAACTAATTGGGTCAGGTCCATGGCCGTCATGGAAGCCATAAACTCCCGAGCCCCTTCAGACGTTTCACCAATGGATGGCAGGTTGAAATCTCCCATAACCAGTAGCTTAGGAGTCTCAACTGCCACCTCGGCTATTACATTGAGGAGCTCAGGCAGGGCTGCTGATACGTGGCAGGGAGCCAGGTACGCAATCCACAGGCTCATCTGTAACCCATAACCCCACTTCACGAGGAGGGACTCACATCCGGTTGTCTGAGGGACAGTGACTTCCCTAGGGTCAAGACCTTCCTTTATAATGACCGCCACACCTCCACCCCTGCCCCGAGTCCTTGGCTGATGGAATGCGCGGAAACCTGGTGGGCACATTTCTACGAGGGGGACCCCCCCTTCATTGCCCAATCAGGTCTCTGTAATAGCTGCCACGTCCGCTTTCCCCTCCTGAATTAGGTCACAAATGAGGGGGGCTTTGTTAGCCGCGGACCTGGCATTGCATAACATCAGCCTAAGACTCGGGCTCTGAGACCTTGAGCAACCCAAGGAACGAGAAGAGCTTTGGAGGTCGGAGCACGCCAACGCTTGAAGATAGTGGGTGCGTACCCCCCCTGACATGATGTGGCCTCCTGCTCCCACCATATCTGCCTCTCCCAACCATAACCTTGATGGAACAGCCCATTTCCACACCAGTATTAAGTCTGCCTATTCCCAGGTCTGAGTTTCCTACGATGTAATTTTGTGTTGACTTTGGCTTCACTTTTGGAAAATTATTTGCTAATCCCTCCCTCTGTGGATTGCCCCCCAAATCCACATGATCCACCCTGTTTATACCCACCCCTCTTTCAGAAGCCATTAAAATTTTGGTTAGAAAATTAGATAAGAAAGCCCTTAATCCCCTCTTAGCACCGTGCCACCTCTCGGGATTCCAAAATCCGTCATCAAGGTAGGCCCTCGATAATGTGGAGGGCCAAATTTGCGAGAGGGGGGAGTCTCGCAATGCCAAAAGTTCGGTCACCAAATACTTCTAGTAAGTCAGATGGGTATAGCATTTGAGATATATTATATATATTAGAGCACCAGCAGTGCTTCAGCTTGCAGGGAAGGGAGGGGCTCAGGTGTTAAGAATGTTATCCATCCCACTTGTTTAATTAGCAAAGAAAGACTCCTGGTTCATTTCTTTTTCCAAGAGTATACTTTACTGAGAACAAAGCAGTTAGATTAGAGCAGACAGAATCTGTTGGCTGGTGCAAAAATGATGCAATTAACATTCCCTTTTCCCCTGGCCATTCCCCATTATCAGTCATGTCCAATTAAAAGTTCTCTGGTTGTTTTGGAAAATGGACCCTGCATTCACGCCTTTCCCATCTCCACATTCCTTTTGTTGATCTTGTGCTTGATTGGTGCTCCTCAGTCAGGACCAGCTCTGCTTCAAACCCAAACCTTCCCTAAGCACCCACCTTCCAATCTCCCCCACTCCCCCCATGATGTGAAGCTGGCAAAGGATGCAATGTGAAGCAAGCAGCAGAATGACAGCTATGACAAAGGCAGAGAGTAGATGTTGCTGCTTCAGATTGTAAATGAAAACTCTGGTGAGGATTGCAAAAAGGTGTTGTCTTAGAGACTGCTTATGGTCCTGGGGTCCTAGGCTGCTCTTCCCAGAGAGCACAACTGACATTACATATTGTGCACTGTGCTATCAGAGCTAAGAGCCTGATAGTACAGTGGACTAAAGCAGTTATTAACATCTGCTGCTTGCAATTACTGCAAGTTCAAATCTCACCAGGCTCAAGGTTGACTCAGCCTTCCATCCTTTCAAAGGTAGGTAAAATGAGGACCCAGATTGTGGGGGCAATAAGCTGACTTTGTATAAATATTCAGAAGTATGAAGGCTATTGCTTAACGCATTGTAAGCCACCCTGAGTCTCCTGAGAAGGGCGGCATATAAATTAAAGCAAAAAAAAAAAAAAGTGTCTGCCCCAACATTGAAGGTAGGAAGGTTGATGTAGGGGAAAGAATTGGATTCCCAGCTCACTTTCTACATCCCAGGAACCTGCCACT